TTTTGTTAGCTGACTGGTTTGTGTGGGGCGTTTGTCCTTGTCCAGCGTCTGGTCAAGTTAATTAGGGAATCGGCCCCTGTTTCACTAAGGCCGTTTTCTCTTTTCCTCACAACAAAAAGTGCTGTCATTTTTGCTTGAAGATATTTTAGTACTTTCTGACCGTGTTAAGTCTCGTGATAAAATTCAAACGATTGAAATACGCAAAATTGACACAAGCTATCAATCAGTATCTGCCAAAGTTTCAGCTGTCTAAAAACGAGGTTTTGAGAGAAAAGACCACCCGCTCACTTTTTATGTAAATAGTTGGGGCCTATACCATATTTTATTTCAAAGAATATAGCTCTGTTGCCAGATGAGTCTTGCTTGTGGTTAGGTGACGTAAGTTAAGGCAAGGCGATGGACAGGTTTTGTAGATGATTTCATATGTAAATAACTGCATTCTGCATCACAAAATAAAACAACAAGCTTGTAGAAATACTTCCTTTTCTCTACGTACCATTCCTGATTCTTAACCATTTGCCTAGCGCGGGGTACAAATTAGTAAGCCTTATATCGGAACATAGTAAACTACGCCTGTTCCTGTCATAGTCAAACAACGAACGTCGATAACTTTTTAACCTCCAGGTCACAATGCAGATCAAAGCTGCGTGTATCATTTTCAAAGTGCTGGTTGCTTACCTAATCCGAGATAGTGGTGAATATTCTAGACACGTTAGTTAAGTTCTTGATCGAAGAAGTGCTTTTGAAAAATGCATAAAATGACCTGAAATGTAGTGACGCACCATTCTCGCCTTTGACAGTTGGGAAGCATCTTCTTGTGGCTTACTGGGGACAGAACAGGGCAGGGATGAGCTACCAAGAGAACCCCGCGAAAACCCTCAAAGAAGTCTGTGAAAAAAGACAATATGATATTATTATCATTGGTTTTGTGGTGACATTCTTTGGGGCAAGCAATAAAGGTGAGGTCAGAACAACTCGCACAACCATTTCACCATGAATGTAACCGCTCACTCACCATCATTTCGCCATTGACGCCGTAACCGTCTTAGTAATGTAACCGCGCCAAACAATTGCTGTTAATGCGAGCCCTCCGTAAGTTTTACCATCTTGTTCATGTGTCCAGCCTGTTGATGCTGTAACTTACCGAAACGCTCATTGATGAAGACACCATTTCCTAGGCAGCTGTGTGACTAATGAAAACAATACTATTATTTAATCAACTAATTATTCCAATTATTTTTTATTGGTTCATACAAGCACGTTAAAAGACACGGTACAGTAATACAGTAGTCACATCGACCATCAACTTAACGCCATTATCAAGAGAGAATGAGGAAAGCTCCCTTCATTCTTTCTTTCCTCTAATCGTCATTAAGGTACTGACTGACAACTTTGTTACATTTAGGAAGTGTCTCTATGATTCGTTGCTAATTGAAATTGTATCATAGTATGTATGCTTGGTCATTCTTGTAATTTAGCTGAACCACAAGCTACACTAAGAGTAAATATATTATTATCATTATTATCATTATCATTATCTTTTTCATTATCATTATTATCTTTACCATTATTGTTCTTCTTATTATTTTATTTTGTCAACTCAGATGAAGTGAGCACCCGCTTAATGCAGCTTGTGATTTTTTCTTGTAAAAGCAGTAAATTCGATACCATTATTCACCAAACCCTTTTTCTAAGCAGATCAGATGCCAGAAGTTAATTTTGCAAACCACTGCTGGGATCCTGTCTCGCCTGAATACCCGAATCTTTATAGGTGCCCCAGAATTGAGGAAGGTATCAAATTCTGTCAAAATGCTGGAAAGAAACTTCTAATCTCGCTTGCAGGTGCAACTGGTTACAATAATCTTGACGATCAGAAAGCTGACATCCTTGCTCAAAATTTGTGGGATTTATTCCTTGGAGGAAAAGGCAAACAGAATATTAGACCGTTTGGAAGGTAATGATATTTTATGGTCAAACAACTAACGTGGAATAAAATGACGCCTTAGGTCACAATAGAGACTTCAGAATCAATGCACTTAATATACTTTTTAAAACAAACTTTTATTGGAATAGCTAATTTATATCAGACCCAAAACCCGAAAAAAGAGCATTTCACAACCGATGTAGCTTTTTAAGTAAAAATGAAAATCGTGACCATCCCACTCAATATATGATTAAACCAACAACAGATTTGTACAAAAATCGACTTTAGGATGAATGCGTCTTTTGGTAACCTCAGACATCTCAGTCTGTGGACATTAGAAGCTACGCTTGGAAACGACCTTACATACTTTCTGGCCGAATGTCTTTTTTCTTTCAAAGTGCTATTATTGACGGGGTAGATCTTGACATTGAGGATCACAAATTTGGAGGCTACGCCCAACTCGTTAAAAAGCTCCGAGAACTAGAAAAGGGAGCAGATACCAGGAAGTACCTCATCACAGGGGCCCCACAGTGTCCTTACCCTGATATGCCGTTGGGTCCCAAACCTGGTACGGCGTTAGGCGACCAAGGATCACAGTTTGATCATGCTTACGTGCAGTTCTACAACAACTACTGCCACACAGGCGACCCTGCACAGTTCGATGCTAATGTGAAACAATGGCTCCAACTTGCGGCTGGTGCAAAGCAGGCACATGATTGGCTGATGGTGCTAAAGAGAGCTACTGGGGCAGGTCCAAAGATATTTGTGGGAATGCCAGCGTCTACCGAAGGTGCGATAGATCCAAAGTACTACAGAAAACCCGAGGAAGTCAAAAAAATATATGAAGTAAGAACTTATGTTACCATTGTATCTTGAAGTTCTGACCAGACGGTTTTCTTGTCACATTTGGCGTGTACGCTGCTGAATTTACCGAATTACAGTGGTACTTTTGAAAGGCTAATTGAACAGCAATTAATTTACATAAGTCGTTGCCAAATTGTGTTTGCAATAGTGCGCTGATATAATATGGCAACATGAGATAATTAGGTGGTACAAATAGGATTGTGGAAAACTAGGAATATGGCAAGGTGACAGACAAACCAATAAGTTACAGCCTTGCAAGCTTTTTTTTGTTGTTGTTTTAATTTTCAAAGACACAATATATTGTTACAAAACAGTAAATTACAACTGTACGTGGTACAAAAGTGATACGCATGCACACTGGTTCCTTACACGATATTTCTTATGGGCTATTACTCTAATTATCCTAAGATTATCAACAACATAACAAGTTACCGGTATACATGAAATCTTACAAACGAATCAGTAAAAAGGGAACAGACCTTGCTAACTTGGCTCATCTACTTAACTGTGGTCTACTGACAAAGATAAAGAGGAACGGGTGGATAATTTGGATGGAAGAAGGAGAAACATTTGTATAAAAAACAATAAGTTAAAGGTTCATCTGGTAAAAATCAACTAAATTTAACCATGGAAAAGCTTCCATTTGTTTATAAAAGGGGAGATTACAGTGAAAATCTACTTGCTTCGCGATTTGAATGAAAAGAGGGACATAGAAGAAGACAGCGTCATCATATAAAATCAGTCCATGCCGCATCGCTCTTTAAAAAGACGTTTGTTGTGGAACAGCTCAGAAATAGATGAGTAATAGTCTCTATATTCCGTTAAAAAAAACTACATTAATCAGATTGCACAAGTATAATTTTTTTGTAAAAACTCGTTAGTGGAAAGCCTACGATGTAGGAACTTAAAATGGAATGTTCTTAATTTGGTAGATGTCGTACAGTCAAATGCAATTGTGTATGCTTCCTTCCAGTCTATGTCACTGACATTCTCAACTTGAATTTATCTTAGCAATTTTCCTAGAGAGGTTCTTTCTTTAAAAGAGAAATATAGGCCGGTATAAGTTCAGTTGTGGTTGCTCCTTTTGTAGAATGCACTTCCTACATCGGTTTAGTTTGTAGGATTTTACAGCTGCAACAGAACCAAAAATTTCTAACCATTTTAAGATTGCTGAAAATTCGCCTTTATCTTATCGTGCTAGAGAGGTTATCATTTCAATCTAATGTATGCGTATCTAGCAAACGTTCGCGACTCATTCTGGTTTTCGAAGCAGCGAGGTCGCGAGAGGACTGAATGCGATTCTGTTGATTACTTTGAGCATGATTTGGGAAAAACTTATTCCCCTGCAATCGCTTACTCGGCAAAGATTACCACCCTTCGGTATGTGAACCAGATTATTTTCTGACCACTGGTCTTTGCAAAATTGTTCCTTTTATAAAGAAACTGAAGAACGAGCCGAATTTTGGTGGATTCATGCTCTGGGATGCTTCCTGGGACCAGCAAAACGTCATCAATGGCAAGATGTACAGTGACCATATCGCAGACATTCTAAATACAGGTCGCTACATACTTCCTCCTCTCCCATAGGATTTAGACACAGTCACACCAACCAGAGGGGGAGGAGGAGAAACACGTCAAGGGACGTCTCGTACCTCGGGGGATTCAGCTACAGGAGTTCCAATCACAGCGACATCAGCCACACGGGGAGGACGAGAAGGTGTTGCTAGTAATGTAGATTTCTTCTTAAAGCCATCTTTTTTTTTCTCTTTTCGCTAATCGAAGTGGAGTACATCACATGGCAGCACCGAGATAGGAATCTTATCTTTGAGTAGCCCAGCGAAATAGTACACGGAAAAGCGTAGGAGTCACATGGTTGGACCCTTCACTTACATACAGAAAGTGATGCCAATAGTTGGCACAGTTATTTTGTACCCTGTAATTCCTTTCATTAATGTCACAGAAATAAGAACGCTCCGTTCCTCCTCCTTAAATGCACGCATACCTGGTGCTCTTCTCCTTTGAGTGTTTAGCCTAAGGCTTGCAGGCAAGGTAAACAGCTCAAAAAATCGGCTAGCAAAGGAGGTGTCTGCAAAACGAGGACTTGATACCTGCGGATGGCCAATGGGGATGGGAAAATGAAGATAGAAAAAATTGTGAACAATAACAAAAACAAAAAGAACACAAATTTGGATATATAAATTGTGTCACTAAAACATTTCTTAATAAAACGCGTGTATAACGTTGTTCGGACAACAACAACAACAATAAAGGACTAAATTTCCTCAAATTAAAAGAAAATTAGAGAAAACAAGCTAAACCAAAAAATAGGGTGAACTACGCGAAAGAATCAGCGTGCTTTGCTTCGCCTATTTCACGCTCGCCTCCGCTAAATCGCCATGTTTCCAAACAAAGGAGCCTGATCTTCAAAAGGGCTCATAATGCAAATCAACTTTCGCTCTGCCTTGACCCTGGCTGACTCTGCCATAGCAGACAGTTCAGAGAGTGATTGTAAACTGCAGACACCTGCAGAAGCCCGTTTTTGAGATCGAAAGCTAAGCTACTGTTACACTAGTGATCTTTTGTTACACAATTTCCTCTCGGTTTTGTGTGAATCGGTCTTGTTTAATGAGGGTTTTTCTACAGAAATTCATTTTCAAGCAATATGCCGCACCCTCAACAGAGTCATTTTTCTGGCCTTCGTTCCATTTTCACAGTTTTACGAAAAGCTTCCATCAACATCTAAAAAATGCTGATCCGGTGTAGACATAGCTAAAAAAATTATAAAGTCTTCTTAAGAAGCAGTATGGTTTTTTTCTGATTTGTTATAATTAAACATCTTTCCATGTAAAAAAGTATGTTTGGTTGCTGCTTCGCAGATAGACCGGAGCGGGCCAAATAATTCGAATATTATATAAATTATTTTCGATTCCGAATTCTGCCCTTCACGCTTTTAAAAACGAGTTTTAAGTTGCTCGATACAGACGTTCTAAAAACTCACTGAGGATATGTTTTGGAAACTATTTTGCTAGCAGAAAAATTAGAAACAAAAACAAATGAAACAGAAAGTAGCCTTCATTATTGCGTTTCCAAGCGACTCTTTTTTGCTGGAGTTTAATTTTGCAGATTGGGTGATTTTTTTTTACATCTTTTCGGGAAGTAACTTTTGCGATTGATCGAGAGGTCTGTTTTTTCTTTTCAATCTGCAGTATATTTTGCAATTTTAAAAATTCGAACTCATTATTCCTGCACTTATAAATTCCCAAAGGGTAGAACTTGTAAAAAACAGATCCACATGATAGGCAAAGTTGATTGGCATCTGCCAAATCGGAAAGTTACGTTTTTACGTTCGGCCTTTTTTGTGGTTGATGCTGCAATTTTTCCTCTCTTGAGCCGCTCAAACAAATAAGTCTTGATTTGATTGCCCTGAGAATATCTTCCTGTAAGTTGAGTACACTATATCCAGTGAGAGCAAAGAAATCAGAAGTCCAGGTCAGAATGATTTTATATTAAAAATTGTTTGTCGTTTGTGTTACAAGTACTAACACCCATGCCTCGCCCTCTTAGCGTGAAACATGAAATTCCAAATAAAGTTATGTTTTAAAAAATAGCGATCACTTCCGAAAGTAAAGACAGACTGCTCCGTGAATTACATCGCTTGAGGATGCTGGTCTAGTAATATTCTGCATTCTGACCCGTGATTGCAGGGACCACTGGCTCCATATTTGGTAAAGGGAAGTGCAAAATAAGCGAACCTATGTTAGCCGATTTTTTGAGCTGTTTACCTTGCCTGCAAGCCTTAAGCTAAACAATCAAAGGAGAAGTGCACCAAGTATGCGTGTATTTAAGGAGGAGGAACGGAGCGTCCTTATTTCAGTGACATTAATGAAAGAAATTACAGAGTACAAAATAACTGCAGTGTCAACTATTGGCATCACGTTCTGTATGTAAGTGAAGGGTCCAACCATGTGACAGCTACTTGAAAGAAAGATTTCTTTCCTTAATTGTTTGTTTGTTTTATCCGCATTTCTGTTTTTTTTTTCTTCTGACTTTTTTGTTATCCGCATTTTTTTTTTCATCCGCATTTTTGTATCCGCATTTTCCCATCCGCATCTGCCATCCGCAGGTAACCGGTCCTCATTTTACAGACACCCTGAGGCGTACTGTTCTATTACCGTTGATGGCCAATCAGATTTGACAATTTTGCTAAGGCTATGATTAATTCGAAAATCAATTGTTTTACTGACAAGAGGAATAATACTCCAGTAGCAGCGACAACAAACTTTAGTCACGATTTCCAGTCTCTTATCCGGTCGGAAATTGAGATCATTCAGATTTTCTCCTTGACAAACTATTGTCATAATAAAACTTTCTTCCAATACTCAAAATTTAGATATATAATGAGTTAATTTTCTTTTCATATTTTGAGATTTGGTACTGGTCATCAAGAGTAAAGAGACCAGTTGTACAACAGAATCCGATAATCCCTGCTCTATTGTACATAGGCATTGATAATGGATCCCCTGGCTCCGATTGTCGTTTAATTAGGAAGGCACAATAAAAATTTTGGCATAATTAAAACACCACAACATAAATAAAACAAGTAAAGAATAATCGTTTGAACAATGTTTTCACGCGCATACCTGCAAAGTTCTCGTAGCTCTGTTTCTGGACTAATACACGTCGAAGGTAAGATTGAATTTCTTTCTCACATTCCTTGACTATTACGTTTAAGAAATCGTGATATCTAAAAACAATCCTGAGTTGGTATTTCACAGCAATTTTTTGTGATCAATGTAATTGCTCTTTGCTCTCCAACGTTTCCAATACAGTGAGGGTTTCGCCGCGTCCAGACACATCTGGTACCAATTTGTTCGTAGCCTTTTGGGCGGTTTCACCCTCCTACACCTCCTGGTTTAAGAAAAACTCAGTGTATTGCGTTTTCAAGTACATTCGACCAACTATTCTAGAAACAAAGGCTGAGTTATTTGTGACTGCTGTAGTGTCATTTTCTATGCACTAGTGATTTGGAATTAAATACACTGCTTTAGCCAGTCTGACATACGCTGTAACTATTAAAAACAACCGAGGTTTCTTTAAAATGTTTCCACCAAGCGCATTTTGGGTACTTCCCGTGTTAATACTTCATCAAAATACTAGTCAAAATGAAACTTGCTTTCCATGCGATGGATGAACTCCAGCGATATATTTTAGTAATAAACTCTGTTTCAACACACACACTGTAAGAGAGAAAGATATGAGTAAAGAGATAATCTTAAACAAGAAAAAGCAGGCCGTTTTCGTTGATCTCGTCTTTTTTAACACGCGGGTTCCACCTCTCAAGAGTGATCTTGTTGTCTGACAATTCTGAAGAAATGTAACTTCTATCGTCGGTATTTTGCTTTTGCAAGACAAATATTTCTCATTCTTTGCTCGATATCTGTAGTTATTTACCAGTCTGATTTTTGAAGCAAACTTTGTTGGGATATATCGATAATAACTATTTTAAGATACGCTCATAAAACCCTTTATGTAAAACATGAAAACCCTTTCGAGCCACTCTAGTATTTTACCTGTGATATGACAGCCTACAGTGGATATCGTGTTCATTTTTTATTGCTGGCTTTATTTTTGAACTTTTTGTCACTTTTTACCACCACTCAAGAGGCTTTCCACAATGTTATTTGAGCAGATTAATAAGAGTATATGTAGAACGCTGTCATCTGAAATGAACCATGACCATAGCTTCGCAAACGAACATGGCCCAAGAGTCAGCCTGACTACAACCGACAGGTATGGGTATGGTCTCCGATACCGTGGTGTCATCAACGTATTTCCACATGTTGAAGATGCTGGGGACAGACAAGTCAAGTCAAGCCCGGGGGCCAACTTGGTCCCCTGGAGCACTCCAGATGGTACTTTACCCCACTCGGAGAGACAGTTTTTGTTGCGTTTAACTCTCTGGGATCTGAAACGAAGTCGATAATCCAATTGATGCTAATGTAACGGAATAGGCGAGGAAAGCGTTGGAGAGTCTATTGGAGTTCCAAAACAAACAGTAGGTGAAACCGTCAGCGGCGGCGACGAGAGTGAAGCCTGAAAAATTCTCGGGAAGCGGCAGGCGTTCTTGGACCAGTTTGAGGCTTGTGCGAGGATGAACGACTGGAAAGAAGAGGAAAAAGCAAATCAACTAATCCTGTGCATGAAAGAAAAAGCTCGTGTGGTTATGTCTCAACTCTCAGCGAGTGACAAGAGCTCTTACACATGTATGGTGGAGGCTCTTCGCAAGAAAATCGGCATGCGTCAGGCTCCCGAAGCCGCTAAAGCTACGCTCAAAGCGCGACGAAGAAAGGTGGGAGAAACTTTGTTAGATTTAAGTATTGATATTTAACGCTTGTGCGGGGAGGCTTACCCGACTTTGAGCTCGGCTAGTTTGGAGCAAGCTCGTGTAGATCATTTCACTGATGCAATTGGGGCGACACTTGCAAAGGACGTAATTCGCTCTAAACCCTCGACCCTAGATAAAGCCCTGTCAGAAGCTCTAGAGCTCGCAGCTTTAGAACTCAGAGCAGTGAGAATGAGAGAAAGGG